ACATCTGCTGAAACACCAGCACACCTGTAACATCTGCTGAAACACCAACACACCTGTAACATCTGCTGAAACACCAACACACCTGTAACATCTGCTGAAACGCAGCACACCTTTAACATCTGCTGAAACGCAGCACAACATCTGCTGAAACGCAGCACACCTGTAACATCTGCTGAAACGCAGCACACCTGTAACATCTGCTGAAACACCAACACATCTGTCCTGTTTTCTCCAGGAGCTGCAGTACCTGGACGAGGAGCAGCATCGAGCCAAATCCACGCTGCAGGGCCAGATCAGACACCGAGAGGACGAGATCCAAAAACTCAGGAACCAGGTCGGTGTGGACCGAGTCCAGGTCTTCATGAACCTGCTGTCATTCAAATTAGAGGCGGTGCAGGAAGGAATGCATGTCACCCGCCACCTTTAGGGATCGGGATCGTGTTGTGTTGCAGTTCTTCTCCCCCCACACCTTAGAAAAGACTCTGATCATTAGAGACCTGACACGATGTTTGGGGGGGGGGGGGGGGGGGGGTCACAGATGATTGCTGCTACATTTATTTCACTCAAACCATCATGGTGCTTGCTCTGGCAGCCATCTTGGATTGACTCCAAAGGTCAATTTCTTCTAGACTCCATCAAATGTTTACTTTCTGAAATTCTCAAATGTTTTGTGGTTCATGAGATATTTTGCTAACAGACATCGTTCAGGACGTTGTTTTCAGAGCAGGTCAGTCAGGTAGCACTCAGAGCGTGTGTTGAGGATGACTCTCAGCTACCCCAGTTTAGCTCAATCCACCCCATTATCAATAATATGAACCTGGTGTGGGATTCTCCTCTGTGCACGTGACGCTCCTGGAGAAGTATTTCATTTAGTACAAATATACATACACGTAGTACATGTACTGAAAATACATGAGACAGAGAGACACTTAAAACATGAGCCACATGTTGAGAATAAAGGAACAACGAACGGCTGAAGGGGCGAACGGCTGAAGGGGCGAGCGGCTGAAGGGGCGA